TTCCTGCTCCTCTGATGCTGCTTGGCCTGCTGTGTTCATCCAGCTCTACACCTTGTTATCTTGGAAAATAGGCGACAGGTTTAGATAGAGGATCTGGATCGGCGCAGGCTTGGAGAGCTGAAGGGCCTGTTCCTGTGCTGTAATTTTCTTTGTTCTTTGTTCTTCTTTGACCCAATGACAGCCCAATAACAGTTCTCTCTCCTTGTCATCTGTTCTTCAAATCTGTGTCACTCCCCTCTCCACAAAGAACCAACCCTTGACCTGCAGCTTTACAAGTGCTGTCCCATCTCCAAACTCTTTCTTTCTCTCCAAAGTCTTTTGAGTATATTCTTACCTCACAAATTGACGCCTAGTTTTGCCAGGAAGGCCATGCTTGAATTCCTGAAATCAGGGTTCCACTCTTGCTGTGGTACAAAAATGGCTCCCCTCAATGTCACAAATGACATCCCCATGTGATGGTAATAAGGGGAAATTATTGTTCCTCCTATTTCTCAGCCGGCAGATTCCTGCACAGTTTCGCACCGCCTCCTGAGCTGAAAGGAACACCTAATTCCATTCTTACCTATCAAACTGGACTAAAGAATCACTTGAAGTGATATCTCTTCCTTCTCCTGCAATGTTACCCCTGATGATATTTAAAAATCTATCCTTGATCACACTTTTTTGTTTGGCAACAGCATCCAAAAACAGTTTTCCTCATGTTAGATAACAAGGTATAGAGCTGGATGAACACAGCAGGCCAAGCAGCATCAGAGGAGCAGGAAAGCTGACGTTTCGGGCCTAGACCCTTCTTCAGAAATGGGGGAGGAGAAGAGGGTTCTGAAATAAATAGGGAGAGGGGCGGGGCGGATAGAAGATGGATAGAGGAGAAGATAGGTGGAGAGGAGACAGACAGGTCAAAGAGGCGGGAATGGAGCCAGTAAAGGTGAGTGTAGGTGGGGAGTTAGGGAGGAGATAGGTCAGTCCAGGGAGGACAGACAGGTCAAGGGGGCGAGATGAGGTTAGTAGGTAGGAGATGGGGGTGGGGCTTGAGGTGGGAGGAGGGGATAGGTGGGAGGAAGGACAGGTTAGGGAGGCGGGTTGAGCTGGGCTGGTTTTGGGATGCGGTAGGAGGAGGGGAGATTTTGAAGCTTGTGAAATCCACATTGATACCATTGGGCTGCAGGGTTCCCAAGCAAAATATGAGGTGCTGTTCCTGCAACCTTTGGGTAGCATAGTTGTGGCACTGCAGGAGGCCCAGGATGGACATGTCATCCAAGGAGTGGGAGGGGGAGTTGAAATATTTCGCGACTGGGAGGTGCAGTTGTTTGTTGCGAACTGAGCGTAGGTGTTCCACAGAGTGTTCCTCATGTTAGTATTGGTAATGAACTGCCTATTGATTTATTATCATGTCTTATGTCACTCCAGTGATCTGTTAATTTACTTAAAATAATGGATTCAATTCTCTGTTAAAATAATAGACAAAGAAATTAACTGCAAATGTAACACCAACAGTAATTTCTTGGCTTGTTGGCTTTCCTGTTTTAAAGCAATCTATTCTTGGTTAAAGTTATTATGCCAAGTATTATACTTCCAATTTGCAATATGAATGTGATGTAAAGTTCAAAGTAATATAAGAAATTAAAAATTAGAGGGACAAAGTAATAATTTATCAAGCAAATGGCTATGAATTAAGTTATAAGTATTGCTATGCTTGGGATTTTTTTTTAAAAACTTAGCTGAGAGAGCAAATCTCACCCAAACTGAGAAATATTTTTGGCTCCATTTCCTTCCTTTGACAGTTTTTTTTTAACAATCATGTTCCCTTGTCCTGCTGAAAGCACTGAATAGGTTTCAAATTAGCTTCAACATCAGATGATACCACTGGCAACACTCAACAAGTTACCAATGTGAGGTTTGTCTACACCATAGTGTATTAATGGATGCTCTTTCTTCACATTTGAAGACTCAGCTGCACTTGGTGTTGGGTCCAGCTATTCAGTGAGTAACTGGTTAGAGTTTCCTTGCAGACAGAAGTAGATTTAAATACCTCCACTTACCACTCCAATCCAGGTCCAGACAAAGGGGAAACGGTCTATTTCCAGTTTTTCTGAACCTTGTTTCTTTCAGGACTGTGTCCTGGAAAACCTGCCTTTTACAAAATCATGTTCAGCAAGTTCCTTTCCATCACCCTCATCCACTGCTTTTTGTCATTTATATAAATGACTTGGCTGCGAATATAGGAGGTATGGTTAGTGAGTTTGCAGATGACACCAAAATTGGAGGTTTAATGGAACAGGTTACCTCAGAGTACAATGAAATCTTGATCAGATGGGCCGAGGAGAGGCAGATGGAGTTTAATTTAGAAAAATGTGAGGTACTGCATTTTGGAAAGGCAAATCAGGGCAGGACTTATACACTTAATGGTAAGGTCCTGGGGAGTGTTGCTGAACAAAGAGACCTTGGAGTGCAGATTCATAGTTCCTTGAAAGTAGAGTCGCAGGTAGATAGGATAGTGGAGAAGGTGTTTGGTTTGCTTGCCTTTATTGGTCAGTGCATTGAGTATAGGAGTTGGGAGGTCATGTTGCAGCTGTACAGAACATTGGTTAGGCCACTTTTGGAGTACTGCGTACAGTTCTGGTCTCCCTGCTATAGGAAGAATGTCTTTAAACTTGAAAGAGTTCAGAAAAGATTTACGAGGATGTTGCCAGGTTGGAGGGTTTGAGCTACAGGGAGAGGCTGAATAGGCTGGGGCTATTTTCCCTGGAGCGTTGGAGGTTGAGAGGTGATCTTATAAAGGTTTATAAAATCATGAGGAGCATGGATAAGGTAAATAGACAAGGTCTTTTCCCCAGGGTGGGAGAGTCCAAAACTGGAGGGCATAGGTTTAAGATGAGAGGGGAAACATAATAAAAGGGACCGAAGGGGCAACTTTTTCACACAGAGGGTGGTGCAAGTACGGAATGAGCTGCCAGAGGAAGTGGTGGAGGCTGGTACAATGACAACATTTAAAATGAATGGGTATATGAATAGGAAGGGTTTAGAAGGATATGGTCCAAATGCTGGCAAATGGGACTAGATTTATCTAGGATATCTGGTCGGCATGGATGAATTGGTCCGAAGGGTCTGTTTCTGTGCTGTACAACTCATTGACTCTGCATTAAACAGCAATTGTCATAAAGCAATGTTGCCTTAAGTTACAATAATGTTTCACTATATTACAACAGTGACAATTCAAAAGCAATTTGTGTGCCAAAAAAGGTTTTGGCAAACTATTGCAGCCCAACGGGAAAGATATCTGTTTCATTCATTTGGAAGTTAAGAATTGGATTTTTTTTCTACACACAGTATAGATAATATTAGCAAAACTTTAGAAAATCCAACTCAGAATGATGGCTCAGTGAAAATATTGAAGGAAAAGCAGTTCTGCCGCATTATCAGCTTGCAAGAGGTCCCTGCAAAATAATCTGTTATTGTTAATTATCATTTATAAGGAAAATAATTTGAAAGCACTTATACAGCTATTTTTCTTTACTGGGTTGATTTACTAGAAATTCAAATAAATTAAATGTTGATTTTGTAACTCACTTGTCTCTCCAATAATGGTAACCATGGTGACCTACAATGTCTTCTACGGCTGCCAGAATATGGTCGAAAGCCTTTGAATATAAGAAACAAAAAGTGGTGTCAGAAGCCTATGAATTGGCTTGCTATCGATGAATATCTCCTGAGCTGACTGACCAAAGTACGAATTATTGTGGAAGCAGAATATGGCTGCTACACCCAGTGCAATCATCTTACCTCCAAATAATCTTTTTGTAAACTCACTGTAAACAAATGTAAACACAGTAACATCGAAGAAACCTGGGATACTAAGACAATTTTGTTTAACAATAGTGATGGAGAAGGCTTTGCCTATCATGTGGATTAACTACAAAAACAGAAAAGCCTATTTTGTGGAATTCAATTAATGCCCACTGTGTGCAGGTAAATAACTGCTTAGATTCATTTATCTGGACTTTTCCAAAGTGTAGATGTTCAGGGTTCTGCAGCTGGTCACAGGAACTGTTTGCCTTACCGCTTCCAATAGTTTTTGTACATATACAATCCCACAACTGACTTGGATTCCCAAAACAGTTTCTACTTGTCACCGAGCTGAAAATTCAGTTGGCTTCCCTCTCTCCACACCTCTAACCTAACCTAAGGAGTGTTTCCAGTATGTTCAGATTTTCAACAATATTTGACATTTTGTCCCCTTGTCCTATACTTTGCTTGCAACAGTTCTCTACACCTTACATCATCCTATATAATTCTATATGGTTCCTCTCTGGTCACCTGCTTACAAGGTTGAATAGCCCAGCTATCCCCATCAAAAACAGGAATTGCTGGAGAAACTCAGAAGGTGTAGCAGCATCTGCAGAGAGAAAGCAGAGTTAACATTTCAAGTCCAATGACCCTGCCAGAATGTCACCAGATCAGCTGAGTTTCTTCAGCAATTTTTAATTTTTTGCAGATTTCCGGCATAAGCAGTTTTTTGCTTTTAGTCCAGACATCTCCATGCCTTCCTCATAATGCAACCTCTGATGCTAGAGATCAGATTTAGGGCCTGTCCCTCCTTTATACTGCAGGTATTAATGGTAATGCAATAGCCTAGAGATTTGCCAATTTGTTAAACTAGAGCAATAGTTATTCAATTGAACCAAATGCATAAGATCCTTCAAAAATCATCCACTCGTGTCCATTCCATGATAAACATCTAATTCATTTATTGACAATGAGCACAGTTACAAGAGGGGACAAGAAGGATGACATTATTTAGAGTTATCCTCTGGGTGGGTCGGCTGTGTTTGTGCCCTGACAAACTGAAAATGGTTAATTCAGCAGATTATCAGTAACATCTCTGGTTGAAATTTTATGCATCAGTGGGGACAGGATGGGAGATGGGCCTGGAATTCCCATTTCTGACAAGCATGTTGGTCTACCAACACAGTCCCACCTCCGAGCCATGTTCGAACAGGCCAGGCCCAGGCTGGAACAGCTAGCTGCCTGTAGCAGTGGATAACTACATCAGGTCATTAAGGGACCAAATAGGGCCACCCATCCTGACGCAAATGGAATATTTCACAGCGATACTTCCCAATATACATACTGGAAATATTGAAAAGGCACATTGAGGTGGCCTCTCTCTCCTTTACCTGTTTCAGCAGGCTCCTGCCCTCTCAGAGCTGGATGACCCCATATTGACTGTTCCACCTCTGAAGCCCACTCACCATTGTTAACTGGGTGGGGAGTGTGCTTTACATCTTACTGTGTGTTTCAGAATCTTTAAATTTGTGATTGATGTAAATAGCTTGGTGTATTTATCTTCTGCATAATAAACCTCTGTTTTATTGTTAAAACCAAACTGGTGTTTCAGTGAAAGACTACCTCATGAATATAAAAGAAAACAATGATCTATCAAGCCAGATTTTGGCCTGGGGTCTGACTTGTCGAATAATAATGCCAGCCGGGATAATAATACAACCCAAATCCTGTCCACATATGCCAACATGAATGTACCAGATGGTAGCTTGAAATTCAGTAATTATTAAAGCATCCTCTTGTTACAATAGAGGAAAAGACAGTACCTTTAAATTAATGGACAGAAAATTGAATTCGCACCAACAAAATTCTACGGTTCTGGAAAGAAAAAAGACCAGATCCTGTATACTTACACGTTCATGCAACTCTTCATTAAGTGTTGGCTTGTGATGATCACTTCGCTTTACCTTCAAGAATTTAACAAGCGGTTTAATGGTCAAACCCTGGAAAAGAAAATATATAAGAAAGAATTGAATGGATGAGTTTGGATATCTCCAATATTGATAAAAAGAATAATAAAAGGGGTGAAATTGGTCATGTGTAGAAGTGATAGTGAATCTGCGGCCCATTTCACACCCACATGACCTACGTTCCTTTTGACTACACATTCACTATTAACTGTTCACAGAATCATACAGTACGGAACAGGCCCTTTGGCCCATTGAGTCTGTACTGCCAAAACTACACTAAATCTACACTAGTTCCACTTTCCAGCACTTGGCCCATTGCCTTGAACGTTACGAATTTCATGTGCTCATCCAAGTATTTTTTTAAGGTTTTGAGAACTACCTTCATTCTGGAGCCCCTATCACCCTGTGGGTGAAATTATATTTCCTTAATTCCCCTCTAAACTTCCTGCCCTTAACATTAAAAATTTCTTAGGGACTTAGGGGAATAACTGTTTTCTATCTGCCCTGTCCATGTCCTTCATAATCTTACATACCTCCATCATTTCCCCTCTTAGACTTCTCTGCTCTAAAGAAAACAATCTGAGCTTATTCAGTCTCTCTTCATAGAGAAGCTGCTTCAACCCAGGCCACATCCTGGTGAATCTCCCTCCAGTGCAATCACATTCTTCCACAAGCACAGTGACCAGAGCTATAAACAGCTCTCCAGCTATGGCCTAACCAAAGTTCTGTACAAGAACACACAAGAACTAGGAGCAGGAGTAGGCCGTCTGGCCCTTCGAGCCTGCTCCGCCATTCAATAAGATCATGGCTGATCCTTTCGTGGACTCAGATCCACTTACCCGCGTTCTCACCGTATCCCTTAATTCCTTTATTGTTCAAAAAAAATCTACCTTTTTTTTAGAAAGCATTTACTGAAGTAGCGTCAACTACTTCACTGGGCAAGGAATTCCATAGATTAACAACCCTCTGGGTAAAGAAATTCCTTCTCAGTTCAGTCCTAAATCTGCTCCCTCTAATCTTGAGGCTATGCCCTCTTGTCCTAGCTTCACCTGCTAGTGGAAACATCCGCTCTACTTCTATCTTATCTATTCCCCTCATAATTTTATATGTTTCTATAAGATCCCCCCTCAAGTCCAACATTACCTCCCTGCTCTTATAATCTATGCCTCAACGAATAAAGGAGTATCTCATATGCATTAATTATGATCTTAACCTGCCCTGTTGCCTTCAGGAATCTGTGGACAAGCACCCCAAGATCCGCCTGTTCCTCTGAGCTTCCTACTGTCCTGCCATTCAGTGAGTGTTTTATGTAACCACTGTTACAAAGGTACTTCTATGGTCAATATGTTTTAGGACTCATATTAAAGTGTTTATAAAATTGTTTGAGAATCTGTGAAGATGATTAGAGTTAGTTTTTCCTAATAAAGGTCAGTTTGGACCTTTCTTCAAAACTCTTATTGGAAGAGACTATATAGTTTAGTAAACAGCTGCAGCTTTATAGTCCGTGGAACTGTTTGAGCTTGTTTACATGGAAGTCACACATCTGGGTTTATGGCTGTCAGGAGCTTTGAGATTTTTTTTGGATATTGTTTGTAAATGTCAGTTGGGATGTAGCATGCTCAGAAAGAAGTCACCCATCTTTTTCCATCCTTTCCCATCTTTTTGGAAAAATAAAACTTCTACTTTAGTCTAGTCTACTGTGAGCACTGGAAAACTGATAGAGCAATTTGCCTAAGAAGCTTGTGGAGGACTTCCTCTCCACATCTCCTGAATTAACTGCTTCTGAACGATTGCACTGATAACTATAAGCACCTAGTAGCACTCACTTACATGTACCAGGCCACCAAATCAAAAGCTATCAGAACATTTCAAATCTTTTTCCTATTGATTTGAGATTAACAATCATTTAGTTGTAGACTTTATTTTTTAATTGATCTCTGCAGAGGAAATTTCTTTATTTTCTTTCTTCTTTAATTGGGGTGTGTGTGTTTGCATTGTGGCTAAGTGAAATAAATCAATAATTTTGTTGTATATTAATGGAACTTAGTTGGTGGACTTTTGTGTATTTTGAAACTGATATAGATAAATTAGATAACTTGCAGAAAACATTTAAATATATATTTTAAACAGTGGAACTAAGGAAAGATAGTCCAACCTCAGTCATAACACCACCTCAAACTAAATTCACCTTCTCCAGTTTTTAATGGTAAGTTACTATACATGATTGAGCCATTTGTTCACATGGTGTATGTGTCATATTTACGTTGTTTGCAGTAATTCAGAACAAAAGAGGATATAAACAAAAGAAAGGATTGAGTGATTCGATATCTTTGAGCTACTCAACAAGAGCATGGCTGATCTTTTACCACAGCTTCACCTTCCCACACTGTTCCCATATCTCTTATTTCTGTTCTGTTTGGTTTGAATTTATTGAACTGAGATATTCGGAGTGGTTCAATAGAAAACAAAGGAAACTTATCAGACCTGAATTTGGATTTGATGATGTGAATCCGGGGATGTTACAACAATTAGTGGGAATAGTGTGGGAAGGTGAAGCTGTCATAAAAGATCAGCCATAATCTTGTTGAGTAGTTCAAAGGTACCACAAGGCTCAATCCTTTCTTATGATTGTATTCTCTTTTGTTCTGAATTATTGTAGGCAAAATAAATATGATATACACACACCATGTGAACAAATGGCTCAATCATGTACAGTAACCTAACATTAAAAACTGGGTGGGGGGTGCGGTGAACTTAGTTTGAGGTGGTGCAATGACTGAGGTTGGACTGTCTTTCATTAGTTCCACTACTGCACTGTATTTAAATATATTTAATATAATATTATATATAATATATAATATTATTAATAATATACATATTATTAATATATATTTAAATGTTTTCAGCAAGTTATCTAATTAGTCAGTCAAAGTACATAAAAATTCATCAACCAGGTTCAATTAATGTACGACAAAATTATTGACTTTTTTTTGCTCAGCAAAGATGCAAACACACACACACCAACCGAAGTAAAGAAACTTTTCTTTTGAATCCATACGGTGAAGTGACTTGTTATGTAAGAAGTGGGTTCTACACTAATTGACTGAATGCGATTAATGTACAGAAGAATTAACCGCTGTGCTCCTGTTACATTCAGAATCAAATTGTTAATGGTCAGAAATGTTTTAGTTGCACTGGAAATACTCAATTTATGTTACCACCTACAACATAATCGAGACTTAACAATCCAGAAGAACACAGCAAAATTCTTACCAACATTTCCAGCATCTGCAGTTCTTCCAATTTTTATTTAAGATTCCAACCAACATTTGATCACATAGAAAACAGTTCCCTGTTAATTCTAACCTTGCTAATTGAGAATATTTCTAGTGTCACCAGGGAGATGTCAAATTCCACCTGCTGTTTACTAATGCTACAAAATTACATGCTTCTGATAAAGACCTCTGAACAATTGAAATTATGGTTTTAAAGTTAGTATTTTATTGTTTCAGGGAATGCAGAAGTAACTTCTCTATTCAGAGATTGGTGAGAATGTGGAAAACATTGCCACATGCAATAATTGAAGAGCCACGTGAAATCATTACAGTGAGTAGCATAGATGTATTGAAGGGGAAGCTGGATAAGCACATGGAGAAAAACGAATAGAAAGCTATGCTAATAGAGCTAGGTAGCATAAGCTGAAAGGAGGGTTATACAAAGATAAACGCCTGCTTTATGTGCTGTAAATTCCATACTGTAGTTATGCTCCAGCTGGGGTGACACTCCTAAGAGATGTGAAATTTATTCCTGGAACCAGTCTCACAGAAATCCAAAGTGAACCTGCTCTGGCTGTATCATATTGCATGCCTTAAGTTGTTACTAAGCCAAAACTGGGTTAAAATCATGTAAAACATGCAGTTTCACTGCTGTAAAAACAACTTTAATTTTTGAAGAGCTGAGATCCTTTGCTCAATTTTGGGGTGAAGTAAAGTAAATACTCTGATTAACTCATAACACATGTGCTTCAAATTAACATCATTAAGTCAAAAAAGAGTTAAATTGATTGCTAAAAGAGTAAGTGTCGTATTGAAATCAAAGAGGTTGCTGTTTTAACCATTGGTCTGTGTTGAAGTGGATTATGCTCACCTGGAAGGAGATAGTATTATTGGTCCCAGATGCAGGAGATTTTTAGGGGACAAAATACATAAAGTAGGATATTAGGTTTTTCTTAACTTAGCTAGGCCCTGTGAAATGCTGCACTTCTGGAAATTATAATTGGGATTGGGACAGGCTTGGCTGTGATGCCTTCTATTGCTGAACAGTCATTATTTTGCATTAAAGTTCTGTGGATGACCTTTTAAGTAGATTACTGCAGGCTTTCTGTAGCTGTGCAACCATACCCCTGTATGGACTGGGAATATAAAACAGGAGGAAAAGGAGAAAAATGCACCAGATCCAGAATCTCCTTTATGCTCAGTGCATGTACAGAGCAACTATTTTAATTTTGACTGATCATTGAATCATTCAGTGACTCACTTGTGTATCTGCAACGTGACAGGGCCTTCAAACAAGAACTACAACAGACATGAGACATCGGCTTTATGCTGTGTCTCTACATAAAGCTCTGTCACTTAAGTAATGCTTTTCGCTGCGTGCAGCAAACTTCACTTTCAACAAAGGTTAGTCCTGCATATGGTTAACAGGACAATAAAGTCATGAACAGCTGCTTGCTTATCTGCCCTTTCCATCATCTAATTAATGCATTTAGCTTGCGGAGCTAATTACAATATATGAGCAGGCTATTTTTATTTGTTTATATGGAGACTCACAATTGTGGAAGGAACAAGCTCTATAAATGTCTTAGTTCAATAATGAAAATTAGAAAAAGAAAACACAATGCGGCAAAAATGTATCAATGAGCTGAAGGCTGAAGCCAATCACATTGTTAATATATTCAATACTTACTGCATCACCATGAGCTCAAACTCATTATTGTACACCTTTTGAGGCTGGATGTGGCCTTGTTCCTTGGAATATTAAAACCCAGGCTAATTATTCTGAAGTGCTGTTCATCAGCGCCATCACTGAAACATGAAGTACTCCTTCACCAATAAATTGATGAAGAATGGCATCCAGTCAACTAGTCCACCACATTAATCTATTGGGTGGACAGGTCTACCTTCTGATATTTTTCTATGGCTTCACTTGATGTGAATCCTTCAGTGATCTCCAGCAACACTTAATCTGGGTAACTGTGTCCTCTTTCTCACTCCTCACCTGGAGGCAATTCCCATCCCTCTGGCCTCTTCATTCTGCCCCACCCATTGAATGACTCATAGCCACCGCCATCTCCATTGAGGCATTTTAACCTCCATCTCTCCCAATCCCTGTTCTCCATGCCCATTCTCACATACAGTTGTCAGTCTTGCTGAAATCTTTTGAGTCAGATTTAATTCCTTCAACAGAGGCACTTTTTTTTTTTTAAAACTCTTGTCCCCAGCCAAGCCAGTATTCAGCCATGCATTTATTCATTACTCCACCCTACATTCCTTCTATCCATCACCCCTCCTTAAATCTTATTCACAATGAGGTCATTGGGAATTACATCAACCAAAACAGCTGAAACTAATAGCCATATCATCTGCTTTGCCCCATGTCCTCAAACTGAATGCTTGGCTGAGCTCCAAGTACGACTAGCCCACTTAGGTCCACTGGCAATTTGACATAGCTTACAGAGGAGAGGGATAACTTTGATTTATTGATTCTTTATTACCTTGTAATATGTGCATTTTGCTATCCTGCTTCCACCTATCCCAATTCAGGACAGGTATCATTTTGGTAAATCTGTGTTGCGCTTAATCAGCTAACTTCAAGTTAACTGAGAATACTGAGAAGCCATAGTTGAAGACAAACTGTGCAAATTAATCTCATACATTCACTCTATTATTAAAATGATAGAAAATACTAGAAGTCTCATATCTATATCTCTCTGAATATATCTATATATGGTACATCTAGAAATTGAAACTGTACCAAAGAGTAGTCAGCATGGATTTCAAAATGGAAGATCATCCTTGACCAACCTTATTGAATTATTTGACAAAGTAATAGAAAGAGCAGATAAGGATGATAAAGTAAATGTAACATATTTAGATTTCCAAAAGACATTCAGTAAGGCAGATCAGGAGCAACTTGTTACTCAGGTTAGAATATATGTTGATGAGGAAAAGTTACAGAATGGATAGTAAACTGACTACAAAACACAGAACAGACAGTACAGCTTAGAGATGATTACCCAAGCCAAGCTGGCAAAAAATGAGAAGTGATGTTCCGCAAAAATGATGCTGGTATCACGTTACAGAAACAAGTTGAACTGAGAAATCAGAAACAAAATTTCATAATCTGCAGATGATATCAAAACAAAGGCTGTGACAAGTAAAGGACTGCTAGAAAAAGCAGGAATATGTGAATGAACGTGTAGAGTGGCTGTGTGATTGACAAGTGCATTCCAATACGGATAATTTTGATAGGAAGAATAAAGGGGACATATGCCGATTGGAAAATAAGAATGGAAAAGTAGATGGATCTGAGGGTACAGTTACATCTAAAGATACATATACATAAATCACTAAAGTGGGCAAGTATAGATTGATAAGGTCAAGAAATAATGAGGTGTTATTTCCAGAAAATTTAATTAAAGTTGTTGTGAACCTAGGCTAGAACACATGGAATAATGTATAAATAGTTTTGCTCTATATTATGAAAGATATATAGAAACAATATAGAAGTGCAAAAAAGATTTAGAGACAGAATTGAAGGGTTATACCGAAAAGGAAAGATCAAAGATGAATGGTTTAGAGAGGATTTTAAGATTTATGAAAGATATGCTAACAGTAGAAAAGATGTCTTGACATGTGAAAGACCATAAACATAAAGCTGTCACTAATGAGTTTTGAAAAGAAATTTCTTTTAATCTAGAGAGTAACTAGATTGGGGAACCCAACATGAGGACTAAGTAAAAATTAGAAGAACTGTGGATGCTGTAAAAACAAAAACAGAATTTTTGGAAAAGCACAGCAGGTCTGGCAGCATCTGTGGACAGAAATCAGAGTTAACATTTTGGGTTGACTGCCCCTTCCTTGAACTGATGGTAGCGAGGAAAATGTTGGTTTATATGCAGGTGATAATATCGGGGGGGGGGGGGGGGGGATAAGGAATAAACGATAGGTGAGGATAAAGCCCAAAGAGAGAAGAGAACCGACAAAGGAGTGGATAACGATCTGGCTAGGAGGGTGAATAGCTGTTAATGGAGACTGTTAGTGACTAACAATGGGTTGTGTGTCATGGCAGACTGTGATAACAAGGCCTGGTGTGTGGGGGTTGGGGTAACGACATGCGAGAGCTCAAGCCCTAAAGTTATTGTACTGGATATTGAGTCCGGAAGGCTGCAGGGTCCCCAAGCAGAAAATGAGGTGCTGTTCTTACAGCTTGTGCTGAGCTTTGCTGGAGCCCTGCAGCGAGTCAGTGGGTTTACAGTGGACATTGGTGGCTAGTCTATCCCCAGGAATTAAAACAGAGATGTTGAGGAAGGGAAGGGAGAAGGCAGAGGTGGACCAGGTGAAGGTGAGAGTGGAGTGAAAATTGAAAGTGAAACTGATAAACTTTCCCAATTCCAGATGAGAGAGGGATGCAGCACCAATGTTATCATCAATATATTGGAGAAAGAGTTGTAGGTGGTGGCCGGAATAGGACTGGAACAAGAAATGTTCCATGTATCCCACGAAGAGACAGGCATAATTAGGGCCCAGGTGGGTACCCATGGCCCAGCACTCTGGCCTGAAGAAAATGAGAGGAGTTAAAAGAGAAGTTGTTCAGGGTGAGGATGAGCTCAGCCATGCAGAGGAGGGTGGTGGTGGGTGGGGACGGTTCAGGTCTTTGTTCCAGGAAGACGTGGAGAGCCCTGACAGCATCTTGATGGGGGATGGATGTGTAACAGGATTGCTTGCCCATTGGAAAGAGGAGGCGGCTGGAGCCCACAAACAGGAAATTCTGACACTGGTGTAAGGTGTCAGAGGAATCAGTGGGCAGGGACTGGACTGGGGGCAAAAGACTGTGTCAAGGTAGCAAGAGATGAATCTGTGGGGAAGGAGCAGACAGAAACAATGGGTCTGCCCTGGCAGTCCTGTTTGTGGATTTTCGGAAGGAGGTAGAAGCGAGCTGTGCAGGGTTGGGCTAATACTATCAGCTTGAAGGCCGTGAGGGTGGGGAGGAGATCACCAGATGAAATGAGGTTAGTGACCATAGTTGACACTGGCCTGATGTTCCATCGTGGGGTCATGGTTTGGGGGAGATAATGAGGTATTTGAGAGCTGGCGCTCAGCCTCTGCAATGTAGAGGTCAGTCTGCCAGACAACAACAGCACCACCCTTATCAGCGGGCTTAATCACAAAGTCAGGGTTGGATCTGAGAGCATGGAGTGCAGTCAGTTCATGGGAGGATAGATTGGAGTGGGTAAGTGGGGCAGAGAAATTGAGGCGATCAATGTCACATTGACAGTTTTTGATGAACAGATGAAGTGCAGATAAATGGCCGGAGGGAGGGTGTTGGAGATAGGCGAAGGGGGTCTGTGGAATGGAGAGAGGACCATAGTCCAAAGAAATGGGCATGGAGGCAAAGGTAATGGAAAAACAGTTCAACCTCTTGTCATGCCCGAGATTCATTGTGGTGGGGACACAGAGGGATAAAACTGAGACCTTTGCTGAATACAGAACGTTCAGCATCGGAGAGTGGAAGGTCAGGAGGGCTAGTTAGATTAATGTAAGAATTAATTAGATAAACATGGGAGGAAAGCAGTAGAGGGATATGTTGCTGGCATTTGACCAGGTAGGATGAGAGGAGGCTTATGTAGAGTATAAATAGCGGCATGGAACAGTTGGGCTGAATGGCCTAATTCTGTGCTATACAGTGGGCTGAATTTTTCCGTTTTCAGGTAAGGTGTTTTCTCGAATGACATGCATAGTGTCTAGTCTGCCATGCCTCATGGCAATTTTGTCAAGCCTCCTTCCACTCTTCACCTCACAATTTGTGCATCTGGACTCTCAGGTACCTGCCTTGTGTGACTGCATGGCAGGAAAGGTGGAAGTGCTTGCCACTGCTAGGACTTACCTCAGGCCTTCACGCCACTGTCACCATGCTTAAGGCCAAGCTGCACCCCATCTTACATGCTGCAAGCAAGAACTGCCCTTTGTACAACATTGATGAAGTGTGATTTGGTGCCAAATGGGTGACATTACTGAGTCAGTGGTTGCACAATTAATGCGATTGACCGTAGTAGGTCTTCAAAACAACATTACACTGCCTTTGAAGAGGAAAAACAGCAATTTACTCTGCCTACTCCAGTTGCAGTTGTGGTCATTTTGTGTCATTATTGTGCTGTTGACTGTGGATTGAAGTTGGCAAGGTCTTAACGTTGTGTCCTTGTGAGTGGCTTGTAGGGTTCACCCCAGACACAGGATGATCTGCCATCCTTCATGTTCTCTTTTGTGTTGTTGTCTCTAATGACCTTTCAACACCCTCACCATTGCTATTTAGCCCCTTTATATAACTGCTAAGGCCCTTAATTTACTGCCACAGCCCAAGCATTTGTGAGTTGCCATGCCCTTGTTGGTTCATGTAGATGTCACAGTAACTGTGACTGGCCACAAAAACTGTGAGCAAGAAGATTTCCATTACCTTTCCAGCAAACAGTTAAAATTACAAATTATAATCAATCTCCAAAAATTCATTCTGCTTTCCTTATTATATCTTTCATGGATTATGGTTTAAAACTTTAAAAAGCAACATAACATCAGCTTGGTAACACAAAAGAAAGGCCAAAACAGCAAGTATTCTTTCAGGGTAAAAGAAAAGTATCGATCCTGATCAAATAATGCATTTCAATACAAACATAAAAATGTTGCAGGCAAACTGAAGGACTGGGGGCAGTGTCACTGATGATCATGAAACATATGCAGACACACTTACCTGAACTATCACGGTGAAAAATATAACAGTGATTGTCGTTGCAACAAAGTAGTCTTTTGCCTTGACAGTCTGATCATTGAGAAGGATCACCAGGGCAAACGCTACTGCACCTCGCAAGCCACCATATGTCATAACCACCTGGTCAATTCTGTCCAATGGGACCAGCCGGAAATGATTCAATATCCAACTCTGCAGAATTACCCCTGGGAGTAGAAGATACTAATTAATTTATTTAATGGAGAACATGAGTAATTCTTTGAGAGATGACAAGATTCTTACACGTAGCTATAAAGAAGACTTCTACATCAACGGAGTTAGGTATTTTAAAGGTCAGCAGTATGGAATTTTGAGAACTTACATGTTTGACCCAGAACATAGTTTAATTGCTATTATTTTACTGATGTAAAGTCAGATTCAATTCACAAAAGATTACTTCCAGAATCTACAAGCCATCCAGAATACTGATTTGAACTTTATTAATTGGGATCTAAATAAAACAGCTATCTATAAATGTCTATTTTCAAACACCACATCAGAATTGCTGAATAGAAACTATTAAGCAGTTTTACCATTGAACAATGCTCTGTACATTAGAGCATCTACCCCTTTTATATTCTAGGCTTCCGACAATAAGGGCCAACACACTGTTAACCTGTTTGGTTACTTTTTGCACTGATGTACAAGCTTTTATTATTTGTGTGCATCAATTTCCATTTCCTTTTAACTCCTCCACATTACCTCATCTCTCATCATTAAGAAAATATTCTGACTGATCTATCTTGAATTTAAAATGGATGACCTCACATTGAACCCTATCTGTTCCAGTTTTGCCAGCTCACCAACACAGCCAGCTCTTTTCAAAACAGCTAGCATTGTATTCACTGCTGGCATATTAATCCTTGCAGACTCAGGACACATACCTGGTCCTGATCTCTAACATCTCAAAGATCAGGCTGTCCATTCCTTACCCCTGGCTCACTGTTTCTCCCCAACCGCACACTTTGCCTAAGTTCTCTCCCACCATCCTGCCCTATCTCTCCCCCAGCCCCATCCGCTTCCCCATGTAAAGAGGTGCAGGGTCTGGAACCGCGTATGCAAATGTTTCCGAAGGTGCGCACATGCGTAGCTCCTAGTTGTTCCAATATCAGCAGCCACTGCCTTTTTATTCATTCATGGCAATGTAGACATTGCTGGCTAGACCAGCAGGTATCAAATTGCCCTCAAGAAGATGGTGGTGAGCTGTTTAATATATTGACCACTCACTGGTGGGATACAACTTTACTTAGCCTCGTGTTTCGGGTCTCAAGTAAATCATCTGCAGGGAAAATAATAGGGATGTAGGGAAACTAAATGCAAATAACTCTCTCACATCTTCTCACTATTGGTCTGCATTGGCTATCTGAGAGATTTAATGGAGCAGGACTGGAGGGAAGGGAAAAAATGAAACGAGCACTTACCTATTGCTCTGAAGACAAATATGAACAGAAGTGTGAACAGCACTAAACCTGTGTCCCAGGTCCATTTGGAGGTGTCAACGGCAGAGATTCCCAACAGCATGAAGATGATTGTTTCTGAACTGCTGGCTAAAGTCTTCATCGTGTACTTCACAGTTGTGCGAGATTTCTGTGAAATGTTAGCTTCCACATACTTTTTGCAACACAGACCACAGAAGGTAACACTGGATGTGGAGACAAAACTTTGCTTAGCAATTGTACATAGACAATCTGAACTTATATCATACTGAATCCTATTCCTTTCTTGGAAGTATTTTGGTTCGCATTTATACGAAATTTAATTAACTTCAAGTACAAAGAAGACACAGATAGGTACAACTGCAAGAAGCCATTTGTTTCACTCATCCAATGCAGCAACTAACCGTTCTTGAATGATCTCGACTTCTAGCTACAATATCCCACCCTGAAGACCATTCCTGGATCAAGCACACTTTCTGTGACAAAATACTCCCTTATGTTAACCCTGTTTTGATTTACAATGAGATCCCATGTGCCTCAGACGTGGTTTCATTTGAAATAGTACTCGGGGCTACCTTTTCAGCTGCATGTGAGATCAGAGATCCTTTATTAATTTCTGTCTTGTTTACCTCCGTTCAGGAACGAAAGGTCTATGGATCTTTAATTTTTCTCAGAACTCAATCCTCTAATGTAAGAGATTGCTCAACATTGTGCTGTCACACTTTAAACTCCACTGACCTGGCAATATAGTTCAATATTCAACTTCTGTGGTTATTTCTACTAGACAGTGACTGAGTATGATCAGTGTGGAGTGTTCTGACACTCCAAGATCATCTTCAGCCATCTCCAAAGCTAGCTCAACATCACATATTTAAGTCCCCAATTATTTTCCTAGCACACATCAGCTAGTTTAATTACAGGAATGTAGGAACAGCAGTAGGATATTTATTTGTCTGAAGTCAAATAGATCATGATTAATATGCATTTCAGTTCTATTTACTAGCTATAGCTCCACATTCATTGATATCTGACAAAAATCTATCATCACAGTCTTGAAAGCTCCAAACGTCCCACCATCTGCCACTGTTTGGGACAGTTAACTTCAGATTTCTACTGCAGTAAAATCTTGCATTATATTCAGTGTTTCAAGATGGCACCAGAAAACACTTTTCACTGTATTTTTATAGAAATGAGACAATAAATCTAAATCTAAAAAATCTAACCCTACAAAGGAAAAAGTGCAATGGACTAAGTCGACTTTGCCCAAAATTCTCTTTTCTGATTTTTGTTTTCCTTTATTATATTATCATGGAATGAGTCTTATTCTGAACATTTTATCTCTTTATTTTTCTAATTTTTTACCATGATTTTGTACTTTTGAAAGTCTGTAATGCTGGACATTTTATTTCTTTATTTTTCTAATTTTTTTTCCTAAGAATTTGAACTCAAGAATCTGTACCTAGGTACCTTTGTATCTAAGATGGTGCTGTAAGTAGTGACTTGTAAACTTTTCACTGTGCTCACGTGAGTACATGTGACAATTCAGCTAATCCTAATTCTAATTCTAGCTCTAGTTTTAAGGTTATGCACCCTCATTTGTGATTCCCTGATCAAATAAAATAGTTTTTCTGTCTCTACCTTCGTGAACATTTTCAAAATGTTAACACCTCAATCAGACCATCCTTCAATCTCCGATCATCCACTGAGTACAAGCCAAGTTCATCTAAACTCTCTTCATGATCTAAGGTGCCTTGGTCTACAGTTGGATCAATATATCCTTTCTGAGGCACAGTGCGAATAACAGAAACATAGATTGGAGTCTGCCTACAGTTCTAAACAACTGAAATATATTTGCCTCCCTTTATCAACCAGCTCCTTAAGATTGAGGTCATTATGTCATCAGCCCTTTTGCACCACCTTTAAATAATTTGTGTGCATAGGTTCCCAAATCTCTTTGCCCCTTCATTGTTTCTATTTTAGAAAACAAAACTGCAATTGATCTTTTGTAGGTTCAAAGTAATCTCACTCAAGTCTGTTTTTTAAAAAAAATGGCAAAAAGCTTAAATGGGGAATGCAGATCCCAAACAGATTGCAGCATTGACAGTGGATTGTGAAGATGTCATTCAAGTATTTAAAAAATGCATTTTCAGCCATATTTTGTTTATGGCCCAGGGCTAGTCACTGCTGGTTGCTTTGCTCATGCTGAGTTAGACTGCTTGCTACAACAGCCACTAGTTCCCTTAGTCACATCATCACCAAATAGGAATCAATAGTGGTCAGAACATTGAGGAACTCTCCGGTTCATCATTGTTGGATAGCATAATCTGTCATGACTAAACACAAATAATTGGGGGTTCAATTCACTTACGCCAAGATAGAGGAGAGAGAGACCATTTCGGCTGTGAGATGGGCCAGGTAAACAATCAGGAAGACGAAGAGTGGCTCAATAATGCGGACTCGCTTGGTGAAGCGGCTGATGAGGGCCAGCACAAAGGCAAAAACAATTCCTACAGCAGTCCCACCCAAACTCACCACAAAGATTGAACCTAGAAAACAAACAGACATTTAGCCCCTGCTGCACTCTGGCAAGGTTCCAGGTTTGTGCATTCATTTCCTTCGATGGGAAATTACCTCTCTCACGTTCTAAGTCTTTTTTGGGTAACAATCATGCTAAAGTGGCAAAACATTTTTTTTCCCCCAATATAATATTCTGCAGTGGTTTTGTCTCTTTTTTATTTGGATGATGTCCAGAATCTCTGTGCTGATGTGCACAAAAAGGTTTTATTTTGATGTTCGAGTGATTCTGTCACCCATTGGATTCACGACAATTATCTTCCAACAGAAATGAAAGTGGTCATCAGGGGCAGACTCCACTCACCTCTACAAATAGCCTTGATCATCTGGTTTCAGATGCATTTTGGAAATCAAGTTTTGAATGTTAGAAGTGAGTGCCTAATACCGATACTGATCATTACATCTCAATTCCACTATAATTCTGATCAAGTGATATGAATTGAACTTCACTAATGTCCCCATTTCTTAACAGGGATAACCCTTTCAGCCAGTGACTGGTTTCACTACAAATCAAATGATAGACAACCAGACCAGGTCTGTGAACTGGGGCTTTTATGAAGTATATGAGACAGGTGCAGTAATGATACACAATTTGATCTTCCTGCCACCCATCCCTACCTGCCTTCAGTTCCGTGCCTTCTCCCAGATGAAACTGAACTTTGATTGGGTGAATGAGCATTGGAGTGGACCGACTCAGCTAACTGTTTCATTCATACGAGGCAAGGAGATTGATTGAATTTTCTTACCTACACCCTTGACGTAATCTAAAGCATGTATATTTTCTGAGCCAATTGTCGCAAAAGAGTTAAACACTTTATACAGCACCTGCATAAAAGAAAAAATGATTCATTCAACATCAGATTCTTCTGCTATATTTGCAGTGAATAGGCAAAATTTGTTTTTTTTGCTGTCCATTTCCCCTAGATGAGGCTGCCTATAAGGTGAGGAAAATTGAAATTTTCCTCTTTAATTTGAATATTCATTCAATCAAACACCCACCAAATTAAGGAAACATCTTGCATGGATTTCTGCATGCTGATGTTAAACTATTCTCTAAAATAAAATCTGAATCTTTAGTTCATTTAGAAAGGGATAGCACATTATGTATATCATAGACTGACAAACTTCTTTCATTTAGCAAATCTTTACTAACATTTAACAAAAAAATAATCCCCAACTCAGAAAAGCATCCCATACTGTACCGGGTATTTCCAAATCCCACACAATGCCTTGAGAGTGACATTGCTGATTCAGTGCTGAATTATAGGCAGCATTATGCTCTGAACAAGGCACCTTATGAACCAGTTATTACAGTACATATGCTGAGATTCCTTCCATCAGGATACTGTCCCTTTTGAAATTCTGTAACACTCAAACTCTCTGACTGACCAGAGGTTGCCCTTAAAATGTGCTCTGATACAGTGTGACAGGCGTTGGTTAGCTCAGTTGGCTGGATGTCTGGTGTATGATGCCAATAGTGTGGCTTGAGGTTACTATGAGGGACACTCCTTCTCAACCTCTCCCCTCACTTGCTGACCCTCAGGTTAAACCACCACCAGTTATCTCTTTCTAATGAGAGACCAACCCTATAGTCTGGTAGGACTATGGTGGCCTTACCTTTCCTATTATAGCTTGACACCCAGGTTAGCACAAGCAGTTCCTGACCTGTGAGTTTCACACGACTTCAAAATAAAACCCAGGTCTTAACAATAACCATCTTAATTAATTCTTTAAATTGCTGTTGGCGATGTAAGACTGATGTTGAAGGATGTGGCAGAGCTAATTTGGGAGTCTGGAATTGCAGCTTGCTCCACAATAAAGTTATATATTCATGACTGAAGGTTGCTTTTATAAAATTAAAGTCTTGCTTAAACAGAAATTGGAAAAGTCACTTAATAATTACTTAATACCCAAAATTCCTCTAGGAAATTTTGCAAAGTTACTTTGCCTACTGAATTGTACATCGATAGAGGCAGTTATGAAAGTAGTCTTATCTTGAGTGTTTCACAACAGTATATGGAAGCTCCATGAAAAATAGTGACGTTTGAACTGGATGCAGTACCTTTTAGCTCAAGGTGACCTAGTAGCCTTGGTCACCTCTAAACAGGAAACTTACAAGAGCAAAGCAGATTTTTTCTTCTTGTACCAACATCATTTACTTTTGTTTTTGCTCTCATCATCAATTCGTGAAGAAAATCAAAATTGCATTCTTTTTAGAGCCATTCCTTGTGCATCCCTTTGCGAAGTTTAGAATACAAGGGACAGAATTCTTCCAGCTCCTCAGCAATGCGGGCAAAGGCTAATCAGATGGGAAAAGATTAAGCTCATGATATTAAGAGTAAAAGGTCTAATTCTGTCCTACGTTTGAATAGCAAGACAGAAATCTTACTAGTGAGAGACCAGAGATCTTTCTGCACACATTATGTCTCTAAATCACCTATTTCCCCTCATTTATATGCAGTTGCTGTGCTCCCACATGGTGGAGGGAAACTAGACTGATGACAATTCCTGACATGAACGTTAGAGCTGTTACCCGGTGGCTCCATCTCACTGTTTGCTCCTCCGGAGCCCCAATTTGGCCAGTATTTCCCAACATGTGGCCAGCATTCCCCAACATCTCAGGGCAAACTCTATGGGTGGAGATCGCCTGTATCCATCATCCACATCCTGAGACTGGCACTGGGTGTCATCATGGCACATCTCTACTCCACTTGCAATCCAGTTCTCCACTTCAATGCTGCACTCAGGGTGCAGTGACACCTTGCATTGTGTGAAATGGCTCCCAGACCACTTTACATATAGGCAGAGGCACCAGCTTCAGGGTTTGGAGCCAGCTGCAACTCAGGGCTCTTTGCTTGCTTTCTTACAGCTCTCTCACTTTGCATCACGGCATCACTTTGCCATTTTTGCTCGTCACAGAGTCATACAGCATGGAAAGCGACCCTTCGGTCCAACCAGACCATGCCAAACATAATCCCAAACTAAACTTTTCCCACCTGCCCGCTCCTGGCCCACATCCCTCCAAACCTTTCCAATTCATGTAATTATCCACGTCATCTTATTCAGACCTTACAGACACGCTGTATTAACTGTCTTGACTTGCTTTTTATCACAGACACAAAGCCAGGCAGCAATGATTAGTCAAGGGGTGGGGCATGATGCTGTATGTCACCACGTTGCATTGATCTCACACCCATACCACGTACACAGCAAAGACACTTCAACCAAATGGCCATGTCTGAAAGCCTAAGGGGAGTAGACATCAGTCCAGGGGTTCCAGCAGTTAGTCAAGAACATTGTCTGATATCAGTCCAGGGGCCTGGGTCTGATCATTTGGGCTTTGGACCAGTTGGAGTTGGGTTGTCCCAATCACTGCAGTCTGGGGAGTTCATCACAGCCAGTCCTAGGATCCCCGGTCACAAATCAATCAGGGCTGTCTTTCCAAGTTGGTTGGGGCTGGGGTTCATAATTGTGAGGGGACAACTCAACACGAGACTGGGAGACAACCCAGCATGGGAACGCAAGGAGTACTATCAGAGCAGGTGGTCATTGACAGTCACTACCACCTCGGCTTTTGATGGAGGGGACCGTCGTAACTATGTTTGGCATGACTACACTGTATGCCTGTGGCTCGGGGCCAGAGTAGGGAGGTAAGCAGTTAAATAAAACAGTTGGATGGGAACATTAGGAAAGCCAATGTGGTTTACAGGGAGGGCAAGGCAGAAAAGGATATGAAAGGGTGTGGAGGAGGAAATGACTGAGACTGAGGCTGAGTCAGTGACTAACTCCATGAAGTGCTAGTTGTGCTATCCATTCTCATCTAAATCACAAGTGCATTATTGAAATAGAAAATGGCTGTTACATCCAGAGTGGGTGGAGTAAGTGCTTTATAATCATAGAATCCCAACAGTGTGGAAGCAAGCCATTCAGCCCATACCAATCCTCTGAAGAGCATTCCACATTCCATCCAGACCCACTCCCCTACCCGATAACATTGCATTTCCCATGGCCAATCCACCTAACCTGCACATCTTTGGACTGTGGGAGGAAACCAGAGCACACCTACGCAAACATGGGGAGAATACACACAAACAGTCACCCCAAGGCTGGAATTGAACCTGGGTCCCTGGTGTTGTGAGGCAGCAGTGCTAATCACTGCCACCACACCATTTTGATTTTTGAGGGTGTAGGCTCTACTTTTTTGTATGATGTGAGCCCCTTCCAGGGCAATAATATTAATCAGACACTCACACAGGGCAGACTAAAGACATCTGTCGTCACATAATTCTACATGTGGACCTCATGCACTGACCTACACAAAAGCAAAATCCGACGGCTGCTGGAAATCTGAAACAAGTTCAGAGAATGCTGGAAAAACTCAGCAGGTCCAGTAGCATCTGTGGAGAGAGAAACAGAGTTAACGTTTTGAGTCCGAATGATCCTTCTTCATTTTTTATGAACATCTGATAAAGAGTCACATTGGACTTGAAACATTAACTCAATCTCTTTCTCCACAGATGCTGCCAAACCTGCTGAGTTTCTCCAGCATCTTCCATGTTATTTACAAACATAGCTGACCAATTTAGTCTTTTTATACTTTTCCTGCTGTTTAATAGAAGCTAAGGTTATAAACTGGTGGAAGTCATCAATATGTCTGCAGTTTTTTCATTCAATCCTGACATAGTTTCATGCTGGTAGGGTGCTATGGAAAAGATACCTACCACACAGACTGGGTTAGAACAATATATGGCACTGAAGATGGCTAGCCTCTACTCTGATTCTTACAGCTGCAGCTAAAATGACACTTGCTCATGATGAAAAGCAAACATATATTTATGCACGTTATTACACATTTATATTGGCGTTTCACCCCTGCCACCTATGTGCTCTCAGAAGGAGTGCTTATTCCTTGACCTCCCACCATGTCTTGGTGCAGTTCGAGGGTCTGCAGCTGAGGTGGGAAGAACCTGCCCTACTGTACAGCCTGTTGGCCTTAGAGTTTGGAGCGGGCAACCCCAGAGGTATTTGTGGCTACATTCATTCTGAAAGTGTCCTGTTTAGACGCAAGGTCACCTGACTCGAGTTGAGCTGTCGCAAGGTTGGGGATTGTAGGCAGGATGGAGGTACAGGGGCTGGGCATCTCTGAACTGTCCTGAGCAGAGACGAGGGGCCAATATGTTCTTCAACTTCCATCTGGATGTTGCCAGGAATGGAGGGTTTGAGTTATAAGGAGAGGCTGGATAGGCTGGGACTTTCTTCCCTGGCGAGAAGGAAGTTGAGAGGTGATGTTATAGAGGTTTATAAAATAATGGCGGGTTTAGATAAGGTGAATGGCAGGTGTCTTTTCTCTAGGGTGGGAGATTTCAAGACTAGTGGGCATATTCTTAAGGTAAGAGGAGAAAGATTTAAAAAAGACATGAGGGGCAATTTTTTTACATAGAGGGTGGTTTGTATGTGGAATGAACTTCCAGAGGAAGCTATGGATGCGAGTACAGTTACAACGTAAGTACATGAATAGGAAATGTTTGAAGGGATATAGGCCAAGGGCAGGCAGGTGGGACTAGTTTAGATTGGGATAATGGTTGGCATGGACTGGTTGGACTAAAGGGTCTGTTTCCTTGCTGTATGTCTATGACTCTTAAGGATGTCACTGCCCTTGTCTTCTGCAGAACAGGCACCTGCCGGGAGATGAAGATCCCTCAATCCCTGTTGGTGAGCACCAATGGCTGGAGAGATGGAGTGCAGGACTGTGTGTCTATCCTGAAGACACTGAAAATATCCGACCTAGCTCTCCATAGCAGTCACCAACCTGTCCATGGATGGAG